CCATCCCCAAATTGATTTCTAACAGTGGATCCTGAACCTTGGCCTTCAAATCATCAAGCTTTGCTGGAGCAGACTTCAAATTTGCTAGTTGAATCGCATCCAATTTACCTTCTAGATCTTCCGTGGTTTCTACCAAATTACTGAAAAATATCTTGGCATATCGTCTACTTCGTTCCAGCCGTAATTTGGCTAGGTATGCTTTTAATCTTTCCAGGCAACAGTTCACCGCCTGGTTCCTTGCCCTCTTTTTCTGGTGAGCTTCTTCCATTAAACTATTTAAAGTGTAAAGCGTTGGACGTCGGCCTGTGAGAAGATTGTTGGCCTTGACATCTCCTGGAACAACTCTTTAACTTCTTCTTTAGTAAGAGTTTTCCGCATTGTCGCCGACTTGAGTAGGCCCATGCTGTTTTTTCCAATGAACCTTACTGGCATGAACTCTCTATTGTAAAGCTTAGCATCTACATGATACACTTTAGCAATGAATTGTTTGTTATCTGATTCCACAATCTTAACTTCATCGCCATCCCAAAAAATTAGCATCTAATGCAACGTGGACGGAATGTAAAAATTGGGATGTATCCATTTGCGGCCTAATAATAAATTATAAGCCGCTGTAGATTCCACAATAAAGAATGCCGTCATGGTTGTAACATCTCCAACAATTAATTCCAGTGGAAGAATTCCCTGTGTTTCCACTGAACCTCCAGTGAAACCATTGATAGCCACGTCACTAGGAATTACATCCTCTGCTGTCTTGCCCAATTTCCTCATGACATTAATAGGAATAATATTTAGAAGTGAGCCATTGTCCACCAAGACTCTTGAAAGCGGACGACCCTTAATTAATACCTTTATATAGAGTGGCTTCAACTGCTGAGTCATTCCAATAGGGGGTTTCTCCAAAATCACCTTCTTTGGAGTTGGAAGTACATTATCTTGAATTCTACAAGGCTCTTGCAAAGCCTCGGTTTCTTCTTCTGAAAATTCCTCTGTAATTTCTTCTATGTGTATGCCGTCTATCCTTTCCTCTGGAACTAGATCCAATTCAGCAACTTCTGTTTCCTCTGGAAGTGACTCGTCATCAGCAACATCACCTATCATTGAAGATGGCTGATTTGGCTTGGATTCAAAGACCAATGGAAGGATAACAACCATGTTGCATGACATTTCTTCTGGAAAACTCCCAAAATGGATTTTCTTCAAACTGGATGAGTTTTTAGAACTCTCCAATTCTTTTACTGGGATTGCTTCTTGTGCCTTATCTTTTTCCATCAGGGACTCTTCTAGCTTAGAAGCGAAATCATCTAAGCATTCTGGGGCTCTATCTCTTCCTCTTGCTAATTTCTTGGTTAGGTCTGCTGGCTTTTTTACTTCATTTTTTGCTTTCCAGCCATGATCCTCCTCCCACAGCTTTCTTCCTTCAGCTCTTTTCCTTTGGAAACGACGTTTCTGTGTTCGCGTGTAAGCTGCCCTATATTTAGGAAACTTGGGATGGTCCACCCTTTTCCACCTTTCTGAATGAGGAATTAGCGGTTTGACCATCCTTGGTTTGAGGGTTTTGGTTTCTTTCTTTACCCAGACTTCTAAAGCAACTCTGGGCTTTCCATGAGAAACACTATAGAATTCCTCATCTTTTTTGGTAGGCCTTTCCACTTTTTCTTCACGAAATCTGGAATCTATTCTTGTTGATGAAAAAATGCTTTTTTTTTCTTATAAACCCTTGCTGGGCTTCTTGGCCGAAGCCTGAAATTTTCTGCATATTCAGGCCTTTTCTGATTGAAAGGCCTTCTGTTAACATGCCGTCCTTTGGCTGGAATGGTTATCGTAACTGATTCTACCGGTTGTTGGAAAGTCAAGCTGTCATGAATCTTTCTTTTCTGGCCACGCTCCTCACTTGATGTCTGCTCCTCTTTGTTCTTGCCCACCGATTTATGGACCTTGCATTGAGGCAACATGTAATAACCCTAATTTTAAAAGGATATTTCTGGTATTTAATTATTATTTAAATGCATTTTATTTGGTTATGTGGTATTTTATTTGATTATTTGCTTAATTGTTTTTAATTGTGGTGATTTACTTGGATTAAACTTGAATTAATTGAATTAATTGATCTTTTTTTTTTTTATTTATATTTAATTGGAATTATTTGTCTAAGTGTTTAATTGTATTTTCTTACATTAATTGTATTAGTATTATTTTCTTTTATGGATGTAATTGATTAGTTTTATAATTGTTTTAAGTGTATAATTGTTTTAACGGTATAACTTATTATAGGATTTTTATGTTTTATCACGGTAAGGGTTTTAGCCGACTTATAGTTGGTTTAGAATTAGAATTCGGTTTTTAAGTGAAGCCTATAAATACAATATTATACGTCTGTATAGGGTTAAAAACAAACCCTATTCCCGGAGTGAGAGGCAGAGAGAAACAGAGGGAAGGATTTGAGAGAAACATAGAGTGAAGTTAAGAGATACACAGAGGGGTTCAAGGAGGACGGGAATGTGTGTTTCTGGGTTGAACCAGGAGCACCGGAGGAGTGGAACGACAGTTTAAAAGGTGGTCGGAAAACTCAGAGACGGTGGTTTAGAGTTTCAAAACTGAAACTCAAAGCAAGTCTCTATTCTACTCTTTCCCTTAAATCTGTGCTCTGTGCATGCCTAGCTAGACTCTAGAGGTTTAATTAATGCTAAAACGAAATATTCATGCATGCTTAATTGGACTAAAACAGAGAATTTCATGATTACATATGTTTGTTCGTGATTTCTTTATTTCTTTGATCTTTATGAATGAACTGTTATTTAAGTTGAATCTTTACCTACTAAAACACTTAAAATAATTTAGTATGGACGTATGGGACTTAGGCTGAAGCTTAGAGGCCTTAACAATGAAGTTTTGGGGTTTACAGAGGCTGAACGGACAAAGAAGAGGACTTCAGCACCAACTTAGCCGTCTAAGTTGGAACTTAGTCGACTAAGTTGGCAACTTAGCAGACTAAGTTGGCAACTTAGCCTGCTCAGTTGGACCGCGACCTGGATTTTTGGTTTTAATCGTCCAGTTTTGCGTATTGTTGGTTTTTAGGCTGTGCTTGGATTGTACAGAGTTTTTGTACTCCGTTTAAACTGTTTTAAAGGATGTATGGGACTATTATAGACCTGTAAAATTATGAGGAGACATAAATTCATAATTGGATTAAGGAATAGGGCAAGAAGAACCTAAGGGAAACGCCGGTAGGATGCACACTGTTTTTGCTAGTTTTTACTTACCGGAACTTATCAAAGTTTTTATATATGATTTAATTATATATAATCATATTTCCACAGTTTTATAAGTATGGTGAATTAACTGAAATTAACTATGCTTAGTTTGGATTTAATTGATAGTTAAATGGTTGTTGATTGTATCAATTTATGGATAGTTTGGAGACTTTAAATGCTTAAGTTTATTTTAGTAGCTTAAAGTGTTTGAGACATGATTTGTAGGTCTTTTAATGAAAGCCTAATATCATCATATATGTAAAAAAAAAACTTTATTTGTGCATATCTTGGAAAATGGTTGATGAATATCTACTATTGTTTTTGTCAACTATGTTAGTTGGAAGATTGTATGCACCAATATGGGGCGGTGGCATACTAGGTATGGATTAGTTCAAACACTAAGTCCTACCTAATCTGGATTGAGATATGGATTAACCATTAAGGTTAAGTCCATCTCATATTTGAGTCATGTCAATAAAATAATTGAATGACCTACTTTGGTTTCTGGAAGATTTGTTATACATATATCAGATCACTATATAGATGGATGATATTTTATATTAAGAGTATACGGACTTTATATATTTATGATATGGTGACATGGTATGATCTTGAATCTTAGGACCATGGTTAGGGTGCGTATATCACCTAGGATGGATAACTGGACATAGCTGTTGTTCCCTGGTAGGTTTAGGTACACATGACCACATTATGTGCGATTTGCATGGTATCTCTACTCAGGTTGAAACAGACCTATTAGACTAGTGAACGTCCTATAGTGTGTACTATATATACATATATGGACTACTCTAGATATTGTTGAGCTATTTAGGATGTATCTGCGTATCGGATTTCTGTATGGATCGAAGTAAGATAGGACTTGCATGTGGGCCTGACCCACTCCCTTATTTTTCAGGTGTTCGTCAGTTCCAGTATAGTTAGATTTGGAAACACTTTTTAGCTCACTGCAGCTTTCACCCCCTTCCAAAGACCGGAAGAACCTCATTCTTTGGCTTTCTTCAAACTGGGATGGTAGTCCTAGATTCTCTCCAATAAGCTTTTTTTGTACAGGTTGTGTATGGCATTTGGAGGGAGAGGAATAATAAAACTTTTAGAAACAAATCGAGGACCCCTCAGGTTCTGATCAAGGATATCATGAATCACATTTGACTCAAGCTTACCTTTGTATCCTTCAAAGATTGCAAAGCCAGTAGAGTCATTGCAGCTTTATGGTCCCTTCCCAGCACAGTGATCAGGCCTCCTAGGAAGCGTCCTGACTAGCCATCTGCTTCTCTGCAGCTGACCGCAAGCTTTTGCCTGCTGCTATCCCTCTTATGGTGTTTGCTTTTCTTTAGAGTTGGTTGTGTCGTCTCGCTACTTTTTCTGCTTGTGCGCCTTTTGGCCCCCATTGTTCAGTCTCATTTTCTGCAATAGAAAGAAAAGGGGAAAGAAAAAGGCAAACAAAAAAACACACAACAAAAAGTTTTTGCTAGAGACCGATGTATTTTGTTGTATTAAACAGCGCAATTGCTTAAACTGCACCAATCTATTGAATGTTGTGGACATTATGAGTCCTCATCAGCAGTTGCTGATTACTAGCTCCAACGGTACAGTGCTTCCTGTACAAAGTTCGCTGGGTGCTGGGTGTTCTCTTGTCTCACGATTTACCTTCTCATGGCATATGATCTCATCTTGCTAAGTCTGCTTCAGATATAATAGGAGCACGCAAACAATTAATAAACGTGATTTGATTTCCAAGCACAAGAGCACACAGCAGAAACTTTTTCATAGATAATTAGTTTGCTAAAACAGTCTCATGAATTTTGCTCAGCTTCTTGGAGAAAAACAAGCCAGCCAATAACCGTCTAACATCAAAATACTTCACTCAAACAAACAACTATAATGCTCCAACCTTAAAAATGATTGCAAGGATGGAGCTAAGTTTTGCCAACTAACAAATCCATGACGCTCATATTTGAAAACATATCGAACAAACAATGGCTGGATTTCTAAATCATGCAGCAACCACATCATTAAGGAGCATCTGGTCGAAGTGCCAAGCACCTGCAAATTGACAGCCGCAAAGCAAACTTTAGTGTCAAGAAGATGAGTTGTCAAAATATGAACGAAAGAATTTACCAGTGTATTAAGGATTGATGAAAATTAATGCCAAGGAAAATAGGATGAAGAAAATTGGATGGCAAGGGGATGAAGGATTACCGTGGCCTTTGCCAACCCTTCGCAGCTGAGCAACATATTCTGATGGCTTCAACCTAACTCCAGAAAAAAAAATTAGCTGCGAAGGAAGGAACAAATTACCCAAATTATTTGCTTGGATGCTTCCACAAGAAATCTCTGAAGTCCCACTTACAAACATTTAGGTTTAAATAAAATTATTAAGAAAACGTACAAAAGGAAAATTATAAAATAAAAAAAATAAAAAGGAAAAAAAAAGAGGAAATTTTTTTTTTTTTGGGGGGGGGGGAGAGAGAGAGAGAGAGAGAGAGAGAGAGCAGTTCTCCACCTGCTCTACCAAGAACTCGCTCTCAATAAAATCAACTAGCTGCACATCGTTGTTCTGATCAGCTATCTGTAATATATTCAAGAAAGATAATATATTAGAAGAACATTGCCAGTATGCAAATGGTGTATCCATAATACCAGCTTAAAACATATTGGTTAAAGAAAACATGGTGTTTGAGACACAGAATAACCAATTAAAAAAAAAGTACACATATCCTCCACAGTGAAAAGGAAAATGGAAAAGGAAGACTTAAAAATGAGAAGATAAACCTTTTTACCTTGTGTAAATTCAGAAGTTTCTCATTTGTTAACTTTTCCAGGGACAACACAAGTTCCATTGCTGAATAAAAATGGCAAAATTTTAGTACCATGTCAATGATAAAACAGGCATGTGACTTCAAAAAAGTTCAATAACACTAGCAAAGCCAAGCTCATTCTCTTAGTGATTGGAGAAATAACCCAAAGTGCTTTAGACAGCCCTTCACAAGATTTGAACCTTTATTTTTCCATTGATTTATTATTACTGTCATCTAATATAAGTGCAAGACACTTAAGACACATGCGTACATGAAGTCAAGATTATTGTAAATATGTTCATCGATGCAGAACAACGTTATCTACATTTTTACATTATTTATAAAATCATAAAGTCAAATATGTGTATCATCTGTGTTTATTCAATGTTTACTTATTGTTAATGACTAATTGCTCTTAAAGCTTAAACTGATAAGAGTATATATAGCTAAAATAATTATATCATAAAATACACCTCCTCGTGTGTGGTCAAACTCTCCTTCACAAGTGAGAGAAATAGAAATACTAATTGTAAGGAAGGTGCCATGGATTATAACATTGGACCTATTTGCCATACCATGTTAACAATCAACTGCTCTAAAAGTTGAAACTCTTAAAGGAAGTGCAACTTGGGTATTTATATTAGTAACACTTGCCCCTTTAAAAAGAAAAACCAAAAGAGAATGCAATGTTAAGCGAATGATTGCCATAGGGTATGATTTGGCACAATATGTTATACTTCTGAATCTTTTTAGAACTGCCTTGGAGGGAAGGGCACGTGTATCTGCTAATGTCAGGTTCTTTCTTGGAGAACAAAGTACTGTAGTTCTTAGAGATCTTCAGAATTGACAGAATTGAGGTTGGATTCTGTGGATGTTTTCATGAGATCTTTTATATATAGTTTCTCTGTGTTAGACTGGTTACCTGATAGAAGCATTCAGTAAGGAGTTATGTCATCCTTTAAATTGCCTTTAAAGGATCTTTCTTTGTGTGGATTGCTAATATTGTTGCAATTTTGATATTAGATTAACTTGGACAGTTCTATGAGCAGACCATGTTTTTAAAATTCATGTCTTTTTTTACTTTTACAACTTCTATGAGAGGATAGGCAAAGCAGAAAGCTTAGGGCCATATTTGATTGGGTGGCATTGGATGGGGAAACTTTAAAATCCTAATATATATATATATACATATATTTACACACACGCAGAAACTTTTTACACTCCTCCCATGTACGGGATCATTGTGTTAAAGATAAGACTTTGAACACTTCATAGGCATAACAAAGATTAAGGCCCTGTTTGCATTGGCTTTTGAAAAGCCACTTTAGGCTTTCAGAGTCAAAAAACTGATTTTTGTAGTGTTTGGATGATTTTGTAGAAGAGCTTTGGGCCTCTAGAAGAGCGTTTAGACGAAGCTGGGTTGGACCAGCTTTTGTAGGAAGAGATGCGGGAAGCTGTTTTGGGGTTTTAATGAACTTTTCATATTACCAAGCGTGCCCCTTGTGATTCAAAGGAAAAAAATAAATTTCCAGTTGTATCCCACAATGTCATCGTTCTTCTTCTAACCCTCTCGCTGCAAATATGCCTCTCTGGCTCAAATTAGGTTTTTCATCCTCATCTCTATTATTTGCTCTCTTTCTAGGTTGTTGGTTTTATTTTTCAAAAAACATTCTAATTCCCTAAAACTTTTGGTTGATTCTTCTATGAACTTTATAAATCTCAACATCTATGATGGGTTCATTCGTTTAGTGAATTTAACAATAAAAATCGTTCTCTCACAGTCCATTGTTTCTAAATTTCTAATCTGAAATGCATTTTAAAATGCTTTGATTTAAGAAATCAAGCTCCGTTTTCATATAAAATTGCTAATCTATTGCTTATAGCTTGATTAATATATATAAATATTCAGTTGCTTTATTTTATTTGGTAAAATTAATTCTTTTGATATTTTGGTGGGCTATGCAATTGCTTATTGTAATTATGTCAATTTATTCCTTTGGTGAGATCAAATGCATAACTCCATAGAATGAAGAAGTGTGTGTGTGTGTGTATATATATATATACATATATATATATTATAAGTGCGTGTGAATTTGCATGATTAGAATATGAAGTATACTGCTGCTTGATAGATATGTTAAATACTGCTATTATGGGATTTTTTTGGCCTTGTTATCCTATACTTTTGGTTTGGAGGGCTTGTTCTCCCTCTCAAGGATCAGGAATTAAAAATTGATTCATTGGGACAATGTTAGAAAAAGATAGGTAGTTCCTGGACAATAGTTAATTAAATTTAAGGGCAGAAGTGTAAATTCATTAGTAAAAAAGTTTTGACAAATGTTTTGCCAAACGCACACGAAAAAATTATTTGTCATGGAAAGCTCTTCTAAAACATAATTACCAAACAGTACGCTTAAGTTAAGTAGAAGTGACCTCTTTCGCTTCTCTTTTTCTTATGTATAAAAGCGAAAGTAAAAGCTATGCCAAACGAGGCCTAAGTAAGATGGTAGACATGCATGAAATTGCAATGAAAAAATGCATCTTGTGTCAACTCCCAGACAAAACAATAGCAGCCAAATGAGGTTGCTACTTGAGCAAATATCATTATAGATGTACATCAGTGCAATACACCTGAATACCTGATAACACATGCAATGCTGTTGACATCAAATGCATATGAATAACATCTTAGAACAAGTGTGCCTTTTAAGAAGGTACAAAGTCCCACAAACACATTTTCATGTACACCAAGTTTAAAAAAAGCCATGGGGTGATGACCATATAGTAATTGCACATAATTTTTCAGCAAGGCATGTACATTTATCTGTAACGCAGTAAAGTGGCTACTCAAACATACCATACAATGCATCTCCCTTCTCAATGTGATCAAAGTCAGACACGGGCATGAGCATAGACTGTAGCTTCACTTTTCCTCCTCTTTTATTCTGAATGACAAAAAAGGTTTTAAAAAAAATTAGAATACAAAGTAAAAGCACAAGTAATTACCAACTCTGAAACTAATTGGAACTTTTGAGAAAGGAGGAAAGAGAAACCATATTTTAGCAAAAACCTGATATTCCATAAATTTCTCAGCATGCTGCCTTTCTTCCTGACTAGATTCCTTGAAAAACCTATTTGTAGTCAAACAAATCAAATCAGCACAAACATATATAACACCAACAAAAATGATAGGTCTTTTGGGATCCAAGAGATTACTTAGCAAGGCCTTTGAGAGCAACATTGTCCCTGTCAAAGTAGGCATACATGGCGTGATACACATAGGAGACATTGTATTCCACACTGTCATTCATCAAATAGAGATATTAGAAGATTATAAATATATGGAAAACATAAACATTACGGGGAATGAAGAATAAGGGATGTAATGTCACTATAATTAAGAGAGAGAAAACACAAGAAGTCAATTTTACATTAAGAAAAGAGCAAACAGACACTGCTTAAGAACAAGTATGGAAGAATATTGTGTCTGTAAACATATCAATACAGTATATCTAGAAAATGAATCTGTACAAGAAATAAATAGAGGAAATGAAAACAGAGAAAAAACACCAGGAGCTTCAAGCATGAATCTTTTTGTTTTTTGCGAAAACATGCCAAAAGAAAAGAAGTACCAGTTTAAAGCTTAAATTTCTTCAGTATTTGGGATATGAATAAAGCAGAACCGGAGAAAGCTGTAGGACCGGATAATATACATATAGGGGCTTGGAGAATTTTAGGTAAGATATGCATTGTACGGTTAACAAAGTTGTTTAACAAAATTTTATGAGAAAAAAATATGATGCCAAGTGGGTGGAAGAAAAACACAATAGTACCAATCTATAAGAATAAAGATGATATACAAAATTGTGGAAAGTATAAATGAATTAAATTAATGAGTCACACAATGAAATTATGGGAAAGTATAATCAGGCATCCGATAACCAATTCGGATTTGTGCCGGGTAGATCCACTATAGAAGCCATATATTTGACAAGACAACTTATAGGAGAGCATAGGGGCAAAAAAAAAGACTTGCGTATGGTTTTCATAGATTTGGAGAAGGCATATGATAGAGTGCCAAGGGACAAAATTTGGTGGGCTCTACAAAGAAAACAAGTACCTATAAAACTTATAAATCTATTCAAGACATGTATAGTGAGAACTTGACTGGAGTTGACACTATATACGGGAAAACTAGTGATTTCCCTATAAAGGTGGGACTACACCAAGGATTGGTGTTGAGTCCATGCTTATTTGCGATAAAATTAGCCGAAAAAACGAAAGATATTCAAGGAAACATCCCATGGTGATGGTATATGTTATTTGCGGATGACATAGTCCTAATAGATAAATCTAAGGAAGCCTTAGCAACAAAATTAGAAAAATGATGAAAAGCATTAGAGTCAAGGGGCCTAAGAATAAGTAAAACTAAAACTGAATATATGGCATGTAAATTTGATGAAGTAGAAATCGATGACAATATAAATATCATACTTCAAGACCAAATAATTACTCAAAAGAACTATTTCCGGCACCTAGGATCAATACTACAAAAAGATGGGGAGATAGATGGGGAGATAGAAAATCGGATTGGAGCCAAATGGGCAAAATGGAGGCAAGCTAGTGGTATCCTTTGTGACAAAGGAGTACCAAATAAACTAAAAGGAAAATTCTATAGAACTGTTACCAGGTGGCAATGATGTAGGGAGCGGGAGTGTTGGGCGTTGAGAAAGACACAAATACAACGTATTCATGTAGCAGAAATGAGAATGCTACGTTGGATGATAGGAAACGAGTGAGGGGAACACTAGGTATAACATTTATCATTTATAAATGATAAAAAGAGAAAGAGTTGTTTGTATAGAAGGTAAGTGACAAAGAGGCCGACCAAAACTCACATTGGATGAAGTAATTAAGAACTATTTGAAAAATCTAAATTTAAGAATGGACATTGTAAAGATATAAATCAACCACCTTGATTCTAGGTTGATTTGTATACCTTGATGTCATATCAAACTACAGACATGGTGTATAATTAACTATGAAAAAGAGAAAAGAAAAAAAAGACATGGTGTATAGTAGAAGGAATGGAAAAAGAGCCCATCTCTATAGGATAAAGGCAAGGATGATGATGACGCTGATGTATAAAACAGAAAACTCTAGCCATCTCAGCCTACCAAATATAATTGCGTATTTGAATAAATTTTTACATTTACAAAAAAGCATAAACAATGTAAGAAGTTTGTTACTTGTATTTTCATTTTACCATCAACCAAAGGGAAGGAATACAAAATCATTTATTAACACTTGCTGTACAGATAAAAAAATTTCTTGCATGTATCCTCATTAATCATATTATAAGTTAGAAATAAGAAAATTCTATACATATAATAGCTCTGTACAAGATTCAACACATATATGATTTTATAAAATATATCTTGTATGCATCCTCATTAATCATGGGTCCACAAATATTTTGTAACTTGTACTTTCCCCAAATACAAAAATTTTATAACTTGTACTTTTCACAATTTTCTCATCAGCCAAACGGAATGAACAAAAAAATACGGAATCCCAAATAAACTAGCTCTAGTCGCTCTCCAAAACAGAGACACAAATATCATTTTCAATAACCAGCAGAAATGGCCATATAAACACATGCATATATACATAAATAAATAGAGAGAGAGCAAAACAGAACGCATCTGATCTATTCGTTGATGGCTGCCTCGACCTCATTGGAGTACTTTTGGCGAGCAAGCGACGCTTGACGAACAGTCGGAACGAGGAGGAGCTCCTTCTTCACTTCTTCGAAAGGCTCGAACAGGATGTCCAGAAATAGCCGACTATTCATGAGGATGCCAAAGACGGCATGGGCCGGGTGTGACCCGCGTGAAGAGTAATGGACTGGGTAGTTGACCTCGGTCCATACCGAATTCATTTAAAGCAGGCCAAAAAATAAGGATCTGTAAAATAAAGCCAAGCCCAAGAAGAAAAAGGCCCGACAATGAGAGCCCAGCAGGAGAAGTCAGTTAGGAAGCTCCTAGAACACTTGTAACCGTGTATAAACAATTGAGGATGCCAAAGACGGCATGGGCTGGGTGTGACCCGTGTGAAGAGTAATGGACCGGGTAGTTGACCTCGGTCCATACCGAATTCATTTAAAGCAGGCCCAAAAATGAGGATCTGTAAAATAAAGCCAAGCCCAAGAAGAAAAAGGCCCAATAATGAGAGCCCAACAGGAGAAGTTAGTTAGGAAGCTCCTAGAACACTTGTAACCATCTATAAATAGACGGAAAAGAGAGGGAAAGGGGGGATGATTCTTGAAATGTAATGAAATTCTGTAAAAAGGATAGGGAAAGAAATTTCTTGCATCTTCAATGGCGCCGTCTGTGGGAAACGATGAAGATTGACTCAATCAAAATTCATTCGTCAAGTAAAAGTTTGATTTCTGAAGGTTGAATTCAGATCAGCGAGACTCTAATCTGCGAGATCCTGATCTGGACTCAGTAGAATTTTTTGTTTAGTTGATCTTTGGAGTTAGATCTGTGTAGTCGTGATCTGGCTCGCACAGCTAGATATGCTGAATTCACAGTGAGAAGGATTCCGATCCAGTTTGAAGAAATCGGAATTCAGCTATCTCAGAATCAGATCTGGTGTATTTGTGTGAGCAGAGGTCAGATCTGATCAAGATTTTGCAGTTAATGACTCTGCTACGATCAGGAACCATGATTGGAAGTGAGAATACCGATTTACAGGCAAATGACCAGCAGACGAAGCTTGATGAGTTGACGAACATGATCAAAGCTCTCAGAAGAGAGAATGCAGAGTTGAGAGTTGGAATGTAGCGTCAAGAAGTTCCGGCGATTCCGCGACCACTTCTAGCAGGCGAGGGAGGTATACAACCCGATGTTGCACACCAAGGCGAGCAAGAAAGGAACAATCACATGATCTTCGCTGCGAGGAGGTCAGGCCAGATGATTTGCCGCCAAATGCTTGCCGCGTGAGGGATCAATTCACTTGGATCCACAGCGCGAACAGATCAGGTGGAACGAAGCCATAACTTTTGATCCATATCAAGAAAGGCACAATCGAGAAGAAGCTGTGGAGTTTGGTCAGCATAAAGCTACACCGCTCTGGCAGAAGGAGTCAACGGAGGAAAGATCGCTCGATCCGCCTTACCGGCCTTCAATGGCCACGTATGATTATGGAAGTTCAGAGCGAAGATCTGCAGATCAAAGAATTGTTACAAGGTTCCAAAGGGAGAATGAGGCCCTCCGATCAGCAGCACGAACAGTTGATTCGCCTTTCACTGATGAGATCCTGAATGCTCCGAGTCCGAGGAAATTCTCCATGCCTATTTTCATTTTGTTCGACGGAACGACCGATCTGAATTCTCCATCCGATTGATCCGACGGAAATTCTCCATACCTATTTTCGAAGCTTGTGCGATCGATTCATAAGCCAATACTATGTGAATAAGCGCCCGGCCAAGGATATCTCGAGTCTGTTCATAATGAAGCAGCGTGAAGATGAGCGTCTCCAAGCTTTTCTTACTAGGTTCAACCTTACTAAGAGCATGGTGATTGAGTGCCATCCTTCCAAAGCGGTTCAAGCATTCAAGCTAGCAATGAATCGTGGTACACCATTTCACACAAGCCTGGTGGTGAACACACCGAAGACTATGGATGAGTTGAATGAAAGAGCCGACTGATTTATGCGTCTGAAGGAGGAAGAAGCAGTTAACGCTCGGAAAACCTCCATAATATCAACGGAGGAGAAGACCAAAGCCAAGATCCGTCAAAAAGAGGCTCCACCACAGCGACAGACCTCCTGGAAGGCAGAGAAGAGACCTAGAAAAGAAGAGCTGATCACTCCACTAAAAGTTACTCTCGCAAGGCTGTATCAAGAAAATAAAGATAAGTTTCGCTCTCCCTTGCCAATTAGATAACCTTTCGAGCAGAGGGATCAATCTAAACATTGTGCTTTTCATAGTGATTTTGGTCATCAGACTAATGAATGCAGGAACTTAAGGAGGCAGGTGGAGATGTTGATAGCAAGAGGAGAGTTTATAGGATATATTCAAGGGCTGGCGATAGAGCAGAACCGACCGGTAGAGCAAGTGAAGAGGAGTCAAAAGCCGAGCTCCCATAACGCACAACCAGTTTAGATAATAAACGCAATTCACGGTCGACCTAAGCCGAGCGAGGAGTCAGATGAATTGCTCAGGACTCGCCTTTGCCAAGTACAAATAAAGAGGAGGATAGGAAGTGTGAATGCTTTGCACCAGCAGAATGTGTCAACGTAGATAAAGTTCAAAAGAATGGATCTGTTGCCCGTTCAGACGCCATACGAAGATCCATTAGTTGTCAGCTTAACAGTGGCGGAATGTTTAGTACGTAGAGTTCTGATTGATCCTAGGAGCAGTGCAAACGTCATGCCAAGAGTTACGTTCGATCGGTTCGAGATCAAACCAGAGGAGCTTAAGCCAACCGGGAATCCATTGCTAGGATTTGATGGAAAATGGGTGGACCCCATTGGCATGGTAGAAGTAACAGTGCAAGCCGCAGAAAGAGTTCTGACTAAGAGCTTTGTGGTCATTGAAATCCATCCATCTTACAACCTTCTGATGGGAAGAGGGTGGATTCACAGAGTTCAAGGTGTTCCATCAACTCTGCACCAAGTGATGAGGTGCCTGGGACCAGACGGAACAAAAGTGATAGATATTCATGGGAACCAGGTTGCAGCCAAAGAATGTTATTCTGTCACCTTAAAGTCTGCCGAAAAAGGAAAAGCTCCTATCCGATCTACGAGCCCAAAATAGCAATTACAGGAGCCTCCTCTTAATAAGAGTGGAGAGGATGAACCTTTGGTCTTGACCGAAGAACCTCTTGTTGACGTATAGATTGACTATGATAAACCAGACCGAACCACAAGAGTGGGAACTAAACTTGCTGAGGGGGAGAAACAGAAGTTGATTGACTTCTTGTCTCAGAACGCAGATGTGTTTGCATGGAGTCATTCAGACATGCCAGGAATTAGTCCTTTTGTGTCTTATCATTCCCTAAATGTAAATCTGAATGCAAAACCTGTAAGGCAGAAGCAGAGAAGATTCACCCTATAGCGTAATTAAATCATAGCAGAAGAGATTGATCGGTTGCTTGATGCAGGATTCATCAGAGAGGAGCAGTACCCGGACTGGCTCTCAAATGTCGTTGTTGTGAAGAAGAAGAATGGGAAATGGCGAGTGTGTATTGACTTCACCAATCTAAACAAAGCCTGCCCGAAGGATAGCTTGCCTTTGCCGAAGATTGATCAAATGGTGGATGCCACTACTGGATATGAACGGTTGACCTTCCTGGATGCTTACTCAGGTTATAATCAAATCCCCATAGACCCGAATGATAAAGAGAAAACTTCTTTTGTTACTGAACAAGGAACCTACTTCTATAAAGTCATGCCGTTCAGACTAAAGAACGCATGAGCTACCTATCAAAGGCTGGTCAACAAGATTTTCAAAAATCAGATGGGGAAGATTGTGGAAGCATACATTGATGATATGGTGGTGAAGAGTAAGAAGAAAGTTGACCATCTGGAGCATTTGCGGGATGTATTTGGGGTGTTGAGGAGCTATGGAATGAAGCTTAATCCAACCAAATGCTCATTCGGCGTAAGTTCTGGCCAATTTTTGGGGCACGTGGTCAATCATAGAGGAATTAAGGCTAGCCCAACTCAAGCAAAAGCTCTGATCAAAAATGCTGAACCAAAGACAATCAAAGAAGTACAAGCCCTCACAGGTCGGATAGCCGCGCTAAGTCGGTTCAACTCTAAGTTGTCAGATCGCTGCAAGCCATTTTTTGAAACAATACGAGGCCATATGAGGCAGGCCTGGGGGGATGAGCAACGACAGGCGCTAACCAGTTTAAAAGAATATATGCGGAGTCCTCCGGTCCTATTTGCTCCTGAGTCAGGAGAGAAGCTTTTCGTGTATCTTGTAGGGTCCAGTATCGCGAAAAGCGCCATTCTGATCCGTTGTAAAGAAGGAAAACAATATCCAGTGTTCTATGTCAGCAAAACGATGACCGAGCCTGAACGGAGATATTCAAAAGCTGAACGAGTGATACTCTAGCTAGGCAATGCAAAAAGGAAGCTCAGGCATTACTTTGAGTCCCATCCTATCATTGTTCTAACCACCTTTCCGATAAGGGTAATCTTGTATAAGCCAGATTTGTCAGGGAGGATGACAAAATGGGCCATAGAGCTAAGCTCGTTTGACACAACATACGAACCCAGAACGGCTATTAAAGGGCAAGCAGTGGCTGATTTCTTGCTGGAATGTGATACGGAAGATTCAAAGGAGGACCCTCGGGGTTGCTCATGGAAGCTCTTTGTAGATGGCTCCTCGAATCAGATGGGGGTAGCCATAGGGATCAAATTGCAGACGCCAGAAGGCACATCCCTAAGTCAGGCGCTCAGACTTGAATTCAGAGCCACCAACAATGAGGTAAAATATGAAACATTGCTGATTGGACTAAAGTTAGCTAAAGAGCTGAAGGTCAGTAACTTAGTCGCTTTTAGTGATTCATAGCTGATTATTCGGCAGGTGAACGGAGAGTACGGAACCAAAGATGAAACAATGGAAGCATACCATTCTGCCGTTATCCGCGAGGCTAAAGACTTTGATAAAATTGAGTTCATCCAGTTGCTGAGAGAGCATAAAGAAGATGCCGATCGATTAGCGTGCAGTGCGTCAAGTTCTGGAGAAACACTAGTGAGGGTGATTCCAGTGGGTGTATTGTGTTAGCCATCTATC